TTTGTTGAAATTTCATAGGCTAATCATGTTAGGCTGGCAGATGATGTACCAGATGATCCTCTAGATTTTTATATTCACTCAAAGTTGGGGCTGGGAATGACATTTCAATAAAGGGAATTTGGTAGGGGTTGGAAGGTTTTGGGATGAAAGGCGGGGCCAGCATAGGACTCTTTGGAGTGCTTCTGTTTTTATTTTTATTTTTTCTTTGGGAGTTTATTGGAATTTATACTGTTCAGTATTTCTAGAATTCTCCCATGAAAGGTCAATGCTAGAAAAGAAAATATGGTACAGTAATTAAAGAATAAATCATACTGTAAAGCTTACTTTGATTGTCGTTTCCTGGTTGTCGATACTTCGATTGTGTAGTAGTCTTCATTGATTTATCATTCTTAATGCCATTCTTGTCATCCTTCAAAAGTATCAGATATTATTGGCATGACATAGACAAGTTAAAGTAAAGAAAAGAAAAAATACAGGATATGTCAAGGAAAGAAGATCTCCCCAAAAAGGATAAAAAAAAGTCTCATGGGGTGGTTAAGGTAAAAGAAGGTGTACGTGAACAAGTACTTATCATTTATCAATAAGGATGCGACAAATATAACCCACCTGATTTACCATATCCAGCTTCCGTTGCACACCTGCATCATTCATATTTGGATGAGAAATCATATGAAACTAGAAATGCCACAAGTTAAAAAAAAGACGGCATTATGAATGCATAAAGCCAAATGGGAAAAGGCTTGTTGATCAAAGTTTACATCATTCAGAATGAAGGCCAATTTCCTGCTTAAATACATTTTTCTTGTTAGGCTTCTGAAATCAGAAGCTTAGAATTAACCCATAAACTCCAAACCCTAAGTTTCAATGCTCTTTCGGAGGAGCATATATGGAAGAGGACAGGCACAAGAAGGGTTCAACACTTCTTGACGCCTCAGCTGATGCAAAACGCGCCGTATTATTAACTTTCTAATTTAGTCAAAATGTTCATAAGGAACATACTAGCATCTTAATGTTATAAATTGAACAATATAGAAATATTTTACTATGAATGATATTCATTTAGGGCCCATCTGCTTTTGATTACTATGGACTATTTTTAAATGACATTGTAATTAATTGTTAGAAATGTTAGAAAGGGAGTTCAACTCAACCATTTACCTTTCCAACAATTATGTACATCGTCAATCCACCAAACCTCCTACTTCCTTGGCTTGGTGGAAATAAATCATGATGCAAGCATTCATAGAACTAATCAATAAGTATATGAAAAATAAACGGAATGACCTGAAGAAGGCTGTAACTTTGGAGATGGAAAATAATTGGTGAGCTTTGAGTTGGGTAAAGCACCGGGATATCTCTTGACCCCTTGCTGATCCAGTGATCCCCTAATTCCAGGTGGAGGGGTTCTCGCTATTGCTCTGGAGCGAAGGGATGGAGGAATGTAAAAGCAACTCTACAACAAATCAAGAAGTGTAAGAGTAAAAGAACCTATAAGATTTTTAAAAAAAATGGAATTTAGAGAAAGATAAACAAAATATGAATCAGCTAAAAGACTACCTGGAAGAAAGGATGTTGAAGGGCCTCTGAAGCTGTTGGCCTCTTGCAGGGATCCCAGGAACAAAGTGACTAGGATATAGAAAACGTGAGAACCATCACATTATTGATTGACAAGTGGTTTAAATGGCTAAGCAACAAAAAAAAAAACTTACTTGGATAAGGCTGATTGCATGATTACTTGCAGATGGGATCAATGCAGAAAGGTTTATGCCAGCAAGCTGTACATAGCATTAGCAAAAGGCATATATTGTTCAGTAAAAAAATAAAAGAACACTGTCTCACAAGATTAGATTTAACACATTAGTTTAAAAAATAGCATTAAGAAGCTCAGTACTAAACACATCATATGTACTAAAATAACAGATCATATGTAGAGAATCTTAACCTGTGGAAACTGATAATTAATATCTCTTGCAAGTTTGAGTCCATCTGTCCATGATTCAGTGGTTGGACTGCCTATCACACCACATATTTTGTAGATCTCATCTGCCTCACTGCATGAGCACACAATGAAGGAACATGTTCATTCCCCAACATTCAGGTGTTACACAGGATTCTACTCTCTTTTTGTTAGCTATTGGCCTAGTAGTGGCCAATGCATACATACTCAAATAAATATTTGCAAGGAGGGAGAAATGTGGGGACCCGGATTTGAACCCGGGATTCCACATAAAATGTCCCAACAGAAGTATCAACGAGGATGGAGCCTGATTCTACTTAAAAAGCATATAAAAAGTTGTGACCATATTTTTTAGTGATTAGTGAGTGCACCATAAGTTATTATTCTTTAGAGCATAAACTATTTTGCATTTGTTACAACTTAGAATTAAATATTGTTTTTTCTCTCTCATCTATTGGGATGTGGATTCTCTCCCGTGAGAATCTCACTGGAGGAGGTCCAGTGACCATCTATACCATTCAATCATTTTTTTAATTTATTTATAATATACCATTTAATTAAATCAATGGTTGGTATTGCACTAGAGAAAAATTTGATGGGAGAGAATCCTTTCCCCATCTATTGCATGAGTATTTTGAGAAGTTGCCCTCACAGATATTTGGTTGGATACAATTATAATGAATGCTTTTTACTTCCTCTTCCATTTAATTTAATGCTATATATTATTTTGAGAGGCTACCATAAAACAGCTTTTTTAAAAGGCTAATAATAGAAGTTGAATTCTTCTGCATATCTTTTTTTTTTCAAAAAAAATTGAAAAAATATCAAAATAAGTAGTAACAAATAGTTCGAATTGAATCGAAGTTTTTTAATTTGAAAAAATAAAAATATGCTAAATAGAAAACCAGTCATTTGGAGTGAGTTAGGGTATGATAAGTGGGCCAATACCTGGCTCCTGGAAAAAGAGGTCGTAGAGAGAACAGCTCAGCCATTATAGCACCCATTGCCCACATGTCTAGAAGAGAAAAACAATCAATAAATTAAATGGTAGCAAGGAAATCATCACCATTGCTGCAAAACACAAATTACCAAAGACCACATATGACATCATTATTTAACATCAGAGACTTACCAACTTTGGCGTTATATATATAAGACTGAAGCAGCACTTCAGGAGCACGATACCTAATCAGAAGCAATCAATGATACAGGTTATAAGTTATTCAATATCGAATACAAAAGATGATGCATTTATTGCAATTCAAAGGTGCATACCATCTTGTGGAGACATACTCAGTGTAGGGTGGTTGTGAATCGACCTCTCGGGCTAGGCCAAAATCAGCAATTTTGATAATATCCTTGGAAACCAGCAAATTTTCTGCAAAGAGCAGCACACCTTGGGTCAAACCCACGAAAAATAAGCTAGATAAATACAAAATGTATTTTTACCATGACCAATACCCTACTATTTCTATACATATGAACTATAATGAAAAAAATAATAGATAATGAAAGCCTTGGTTATTTCGCACAATATGGGAGTTGCAAGAAGTACAAAAGGGGCGTGAAAACCACTTTTTGACAGAGTCGCTAATCGGGAAATGAAATGCTGGAAACACATACATTACATGCTACATATAATATAAATTAATGAATATTATCCATTATTTAAAAAAAGTATAAAAACATCGAGACAATAACAAAACCACGAATAAGGAGGTACCAGGTTTAAGGTCGCGATGGAAGTAACCACGCTGATGCATGTAAGCCAGACCTTGGAAAACTTGAAAACACCAGTTTCTAATTTCACTTTCAGAAAACAATTTTTCCCTGTCTTTCATAAGTTGGTATAGGTTGCATTCCTGAGTCACCCAAAAATTGACAGCAATTAAATATTAGCCACTCACCATGTACTCAAAAACAAAGTATAGGACAATTCATCCCTTCTCCACACAAAAATATTAGCCGCTCACCATGTACTCAAAAACAAAGTACAGAATGTCACTTTCTCGAATAACTTCCTTCAGTTTCACAATATTTGGGTGGTTCATTTTTCGTAAAGACTGCCAACAAATAAAACAAGAGATTAGAGACTAAACACAAAAGAATTTAGTAATACAATGATAATACATGATAACTAAGGCTCCAATTCAGAAATATAAGTATGATGCACCACCTTGACTTCTCTGAGATTTACACACTCTTCCCAAGAGTAATATTTCTTTTTCATTTTTTTGATTGCAACCTGCAATTTTGCAACGTGTTAGGATAAAAATGTAACTTCAAATAGAACACAACTTCATCATACAAGTAAACCATACTTACAACTTCGCCAGCTTGCTTACTAATAGCTCTCCAGACACTCCCAAATGTTCCATCACCAACTTCCTTAATTATTTTGTACCTATAGTTTTAAAGAAAAATGTTAAATAGTCAAAATACAGTAAATGAAAAAATTATTAATTTCTTCACAAAAAAAAAAAACAATACTTACCTCTCCATTTTTTCACAGAATACAAAAATGCTTCCTTTATTCAAGAAATGTAAACAAAAACAAGATAAATAGCATTTATCTCTAGTAGTTGATGCTCTCTGTATAAACAAGTTTCTGCTAGTCCAGAAAACCCGAACATCAATATTCTGTCATGTCAGAAGCGGACATAGGACAGAAACTATCTGATGGAAGGGATGCACGGCCTTATTTAGTGAGACCCTTTGTTCTGGTTACGGGACAAAGGTGGTAGAAATGAATAAGAACGACAGAACATAGTGACACTTCTCAGGTCCCACCAAACTGATTGATCAATGCAATAGCTAATACCTCTGCGAGCCAAGACTTCAGAACTGAAATTGCATCTATTTCATCTAATCTACTCTAGGATTCATTTCAGAACCTTCAGGTAAATGATGCACTGTCACCAATAATTTCCATCAGAGAGCAAAACGGAGACAATTGCCAATGACTACAGTCTTATAATGATTCAATGCAAATGCTTCAGTCGAAGATGCAGGCTGAATCCAATATTCAGTGACCAGACTATACTTAAGCTCTGTAAAAAAATAACATAGGCTGTTAAATTTTATCAAATCAAAATAGGTTATGTTATAGAGGCTCTCATAAATAGACTTCTTACCGTGAAGAAAATTCCACAGAAGATTTAACTAAATGTTGGGTCAGCAATGCACTGTCAAAGGAAAATTTGTCAATGAACTAACTATTTGATTGATACTTATTCACATACAAGAATAAGAACAAGTGCTTACTTGTACAAGTGCAAGATGCAGCACCTGTATCAGAATAAACTAGCATCACGTACCCTTTGTTGATCATTTAACGGAAACAGAACACTAAGTGCAATTGACAAAGGAAACCAGAAGAAAATTTCCAAGGATGAAAACTCGCCAATCAAGCACTTCTTGGAATGCGAAAAAGCGATACTGGTAACAATTTGTCGAGAAATAAACTCCCTCCATGTCTCAGAATATAATTCACAGCGCTTTAAATTCAAATTTAAACAGCCCTGAGATAATAATAGAAGATAGCCAAAGCATGGAGGTTAGATTAATAATTCCATAATACAAACCCTAACAAATTCAGAATCCAAAGGAAAATCACAAAACCTCAAAACAAACCCTTGAAACAAATAATCAAAATCAAATTCAAATTCAACCAATTCAAATTCTAATAACATGAAAAACCCATTCAATCGATAACATAATCAGTCAATCGAATGTAAATCTGAGGCAAAATTAAGAAAACAAATAGGAAGAACGAACAGAAACGAAATCGAATCGGATCTGAAACGCGGAGAAAGAGACCTGATGAACAAGCAGCATAACCACCGCCTCGAAGGACGGGAAGAGGTGGAATCCAGAGCTTCTTGTTCCGATACGGAAAACCTAATTCGCTCTGATTTTTTTTCTCTGTTCTCAACGCTTCGTGCCGACTAAGAAAATGTGAATGAGAATTTGAAGGCGTGCGTTATACCTAATTTATGTGAGTTACTTTTATGCCACTGGTATATGCGTTGTGCAACATGCGTTAGTCACCGCCTTTATTTCTTTTCTTGTCTTCAACTCCAACTATCATGACAATTCCAATGTCCTATAAATAAATATATTATTAAACTAAATATTATGAGTATTTTGTATGTTGCCATTGGTTTGTTTCTTAAAATATAATAAAAATAAAAGAAAAATAAAATTGTTTTATCAAAAAAGTTTATTATTGTTAAAAGAGAAATATATTTTTAAAATTATATGTATTGACATCATAAGGTTGTTTGAGATGGTTGAGAGATTATATACATTGAAATCATAAAATAAATTTGTTTGAGATGTGATCGCACCTGATCAGAGTTGGACCGTCACAGCTGGTTTCGGGTTGGATTTGAAGGAGATGGGGGTGGGTACCTGCAACACATTCCGATGACAAAGTGGGAGACGGAATGAGCAAGCAAGTATGTGTGTAGGTGTGAATGAATGAATATCTGACAGTCTCGAAATAGAGGGTATTTATAGCCCCCAGCGCTGGACCAAGGTCTCTTTATTGGGCTGATCAAACAGGCCCAACAAAGAGACTTCCAGGTTCTACGTGAGTAGTGGGGACCTGCACGTAGCCCCCTACTTGGATGATGTCCTCCGCAAGATAGGGAGGATAAAGACGCGATCTTCCCAGGACCATGAGGACTCCACGGAATTCAGAGAGGTTGAAAGTCAACCCTACGAGGAGGGTGCTAGGGTGGAGCGTGCGCTCGTCGGGGACATTCCTCGCGGGCACCGGCGAGAAGAAATCATAGCCGACTAGATGCCCATGATCGGGGTGTGCTCGGAGGATATACTGCTCAGCACGATATATTGACAAGCTTGGATTAGGCCTCACTAGTGATTGGGCCATGGGCAGGCCCAGTCCAGAACAGGAGCCCCCCAAGTTGTTGCTCCTGGTACGGGAGTTATGACTTGATTCAAGTTCGCCCCTTCGCGAGACTCGCTTGCGCGACACAGGGGTTTTCAATCGGGGATGTGAGACATCGCCTGGTTCATGATTTTCCTTGTGCAGCGATCGAGAAGTGTTCGAGGAGCACTCACGGAGAGGTGGTGATGCACCAGTCAGACACGTGGCACGACTCTTGGAAACCACAATGTCGCCCTAGGGAGTAGGGTCATCATTGTCTACGCGAGTAGGCATCGAGGACGGAGGCGTTTTGTGGTTCCCCGACGCGACGTTTCATATTCCATATCATCTCTATAAATAGGGCTTCAGGGCCCATAATTTGTTTTCACGTCTTCACGCTCTCGTATTTTCTCTGCTTTCAATCACCGTGTGTTTTCCTAGCGTCGTTGAGACTGCTACGCCGTTTGCCGTGTGTTCATCTCCACCACTGTCGCTCCTCACTCTTCTCCCAAGTAAGTGTTTTTTCCTTTTGATATCTCATGTTGTAGATAGATTCTGATGGTGTTTAGTGGTAGAATTTCGTGTTTGGGGATTATGTCTGAGAAATTTAAGCACCCTAGGCGTCTGATTCATGATTACGCTCGCGACATTCATAGGTTTAGGCATACAGTTTATGATTGTGCCCGTGATACTCATGCGTTTGGCTAGTAGATTTATGAACTTGGTCGGGGGATTCATCCTTTCGTTAGTATGTAGGCTAGTTTTCCCCGTAGTATTCTTGTATCTGGCCAGCAACATTATGAACTTGGTTGTGAGATTCATCCTTTTCTCGCGATATTCATGTTATGCTCGTGATATTCATGATTGATACACGATTGATATACGTCCGTCGCTAAGGTTGGTGTTTGGTAGAGGTCTATGTGTTCCCCGTTTTTCGTACGAATGGTCGTTGACCTGGTCTGAGTGTTCCTTACTTCTCCACGTCTTTGTGGCGGAAAAGAGGATTTGCTGTCGAATTCACTGGTTTCCTGTACTTTACAGGTAAATGGACAATATTCTTGAGTCCTCTGGGCGTGATGATGTCGAGGAAACAAGCATTGTCGACGAAAGCATAAATCTGGTCGACATCGTTGATGACCCTACTCTGGATTGGGTTGGTGCTGAACCCCGGGGAATAGCTTTGATCTATAGTTATCCCGGTAAACAAGCTTACACTGTCGTCGAGTATGGCGGCGGCCAGGAGGAATTTCGGAGAAACTTTAAGATTATGAGGTCGACGAGGGATGCCAGCATCTGCTTGGAGTTTACACAGGACGTCTTTCCCATGTACGAGATCGTATTTAAAGATCTCGGGCTCCAGTTGCCCTTCAATGACTTCCAGGTGGGAGTGTTCAACCACCTGAACCTGGCCCCCTCCCAGATTCATCCTAATGCGATTGCCTTTATCCGGGCATTCGAACTCACATGCCGCTTCCTGAGGATTGGGGCGACGATTCCCCTATTCTTCAGGGTGTGATCGGTGGATCTGGAACTGACTGTTTAACGCTGGTTCGCGAAATGTCGCGGTAAGCAAGAGTCGCCACCGTCTTTTATTTTCTCCAAATGGAAAGGACAAAAGCACAGAAAAATTCCTTAAAGAGATTGCTCTCGGTTCGGGAGGTAGGTTATAGAAAGGGAAGGTGTTAGCACCCTTTCTATCCATGGTTATCCATGGGCTCTTAGATACTTGCTCAATGTGTTTTCAAAATTGTTTGTTTTGCTTTTCAATGTGGGTTTCAAAAAGTTCTTTGAACAATTTCAGATCGACTCATACGTCAGAGTGTTTGAAAAATTTGCTTTGAAAGCCTTTGAAAAGTGTCAGTGTGAAAAGATTTCAGTTTGTTTTGAAATTAGAGCAAGTATCCTTGAGAACCTACCTACCCTAAGGAATTCGTCTGTGTAAATGTCCTTTAAAGTAGTGCCATCCCACCATTGAGAGGTAGGTAGCACCACCGTTGGAGGTGTTCGGGTCAATTCGATTTTAGGGACATGGTGATCACCAGAGCAATGGGAAGACACCTTAGAAGCTACCCTCATGCCAGGTTCCCGGATCATGAGGACTTACTAAGACATCCTCTACTCGACGATCACCTTTCGAGGGGCAAGGCAACAGTGAGGCGTACCCTAGGGGTGGTGTGTGCGAATTGTGTGTCATGTTTCAGTTTATTTGTCTTGTCATGTTCGTCGTGTTCTACGCTTGATTTTAATTTGCCATTCATTCTTTCATGCTTGATTAACAGTTAGGAGTGCGGAAAATAAATCTAGGACTATTACAAATGGCGCGGGTCCACATCGCCAAAATTAAGCCGGACCCGATTTAGCGGAAAATAAATAATGCGAAGAAATAAAGTGCGAAAAGTAAATTACAACGCTTTGGGGCAATTACAAAATCATAATAAGCGATAATAAAATAAATGCGCGAATTAAATGATTAATGACGGGCGTTGGACCCTTTTTGCAAGAATAATTAAATTAATAAGAAATTAAAATAAAAATTAAATGAGAATGATATTTTTGGTATTTTTTAGATTTAATGAAAAAAGGAAATTAATTGAGATTAAATTAGACGGCAAACCCTAATTCTAATATTTTTTATTTATTAAGAAAGAATTAAAATAAAGTCTAAATTAAACCTAAAATTTATTATGTACAATTTTTAATTATAAAAATAAAAATAATAAATAAATAGTATTGTGAAAAATAAAAATTAAAAAAGACCTTAAAACTATCAATTAACCTAATTCTACATGTTTTTGGATTTTCATAAAAAAAGAAATTAACATTGAAAACCTAATTAAATTAAATAATTATAAGTATTTATTATGAAAATAATTAAAATTAAAAATTCTATTTTTATTTGGACATTTTATTTTTTATGATGTTTTTCTGTATTTTTTTGTAAAAAAGATATTTAATTTAAATCAGAAAATAAATAAACAAATAAACAATTAAAAATAATAAAAGATAAAAAAAGTAGAAAAAGATAGAACCAGGGGGGGTTTGCTGTCCCCTTATGGAGGTGTGAATTTGAGAGGCCTGGCCCAATAACGTTGGAACTTGGTTGACTTTTTGAATCCCATGCTACGCGTCTGACTCATGCCTAGGGTGTACCATGAAGTCTGGACATTGATTTGATCATTGTGGACGCGTGTATGGTGAGATGCTGATGGAACACGGTACGTACCAACGTTATGCCTGCATGGGAATGAGGATAGAAAAATAGCGTGAAATTATTCAGACCTGGGACTTGAACCCAGGTCTTTGACGTTGCCAGCTAAACACTTAACCACTGAACCACTTGAATCGCGTTTAATATATTATAACAAACAAATGATAAAAGGAAAAAGCAAATGCATTAATGATTCACGCGCGAAATTCAAAACCAGCCTATCGTTGAAGGACAGCACATCATCTTCCTCGCGTTTCTTTCTGCCTGAAAAAAATAACAGATGTTTAACGGGGGTTTTGAACCCCCTCAATATAGGCGTGTTTTCAAAATAGCGATTAGGTCCTGAATGTGCATAAATTGAGCGCGAGCATCTTGTCTTCTTCGTCTCAACCTGCAGATTTCAATCATAGCATTGGTGTGCCTTAATTTTACACGAACTGATAACGCCCAATTTGGAAGTTTCGGAACCCTAGGCCTCTCTAATGGTGAATTGGCATATAGGGCAAAATAACATAATTAAACATAGTGGTTAGTTCAGAAACATCAATATATACATGAATCCATGAAAAAAAATGCATAAAGATGATGGAATCATGCTATATGATTTCAAAATTTCCAAGATACGGTTGGACTCATGGATACCGGTACAAGGTGTTTTGCTTGTTGTCAATGGTTGAGAAACACTCAGTGATGTCTCAGAATGCTATTGAAACAAAAATCCAAGCTTGAATCGTC